GAAAAGCTGCATTACTTCCCTTCAACAGGGCTCTGCAGGTTCCAGCAACATATTTCTCTGTCTAAGGTAATCAGGTTTACATAGTTCATAAACACAACTGCTTCTCTGTGTTTGGATGCAGATTTCCGTTTGAACAGAGATTTTTACCCCCACTCCTTTGTCTGCTTCTTTAAATGCTCTACAGTGCAAGGCTTCTGAAAAGAAATGGTTATGGGATAGAATAAGAGAGTTTTGATAGTTGGGGGGGGGGAGAGAACACATCTTCTGGAGTGAAATCATTAATTATCTTTAGAAGGGTGGCAGCAACCTCTTCAGTTATGTGGGAGATTAATAAACAGTCATTAACAACCAACCATGGATGAAAGTACAACCAAATGAGAAATTTGATTATCCTCCATTAAATACAGTGGAAGAGAGCCTACAAGTTCAGGAAACTGATAAGAATATTGGTGTGATTAGGTAAAGCAAACAGAACAGAAAGGGCTGAAAGCCAAATCTGGCAACAATTTGTAGCATACCCACTCCCAGTTATTAGGGGCTCTCAGTCTATTATAAATGGTGTGAATTCTGCAACAAAAGAACTGCAAATCCAAAAAGCGGTATGCTTATCTGGTGCACAGATCGAAATCTCCTTATTTCTATTTTTTTCTTATGTGATCAGATTGGACTTCCTGTTTATTGTTTTGTCATAAAAGAGGTACAACTTACTGGCAAGCAATGGATCCATATGGTTTTTCAATGTAACTATTTAGGACAATTTGAACAACTATCTAAACAGAGGCAAGACATCCAAAGACCTCTTCTACTTCTGTCACTGATGCTGTCAAATTATTATTAGAGCTATGCTGCGGAAAGGAGTGGGGCTGTACAGGTTTGCCAGTCAGGATGTCCCTTCCAGAGATCTACCTCCCAACACACACCCTCCTTCCCTCCTGCTATTACTTCAGTTCTAGGGGTTTATCAGACAGGGCCCAGAGTACCCTCCCTGCCCCCAGGCAACACCCTCTTTAGTCAGGCCATGCCCTGATGCATGACTAAATATGAGGCACGAAGAACAGTGAATAAGAAAGTGTCTTAGACAAATATTATAGCAAATAAGAGAACAGTTACAGAAATGGGTCAGAATTAGGGTTGCCATTATCCAGGTGGTGCCTGGAGTTCTCCTGGAATTACAACTGATCTACAGACTACAGAGATCAGTTCCCCTGGAGGAAATGGTAGCTTTGGAGGGCAGTCTTTATGGAATAGGATCCGCACTTAGCTCCCTCCCCAAAATTTGCCCTCCCCAGGCTCCACCCCCAGATTTCCAGGAGTTCCCCAGCCCAGAGTTGGGAACCCTACGCAGAATTAATACAAGGACACTACAAGTACACAGGGCAAAACCCATACAGGCAGCTCATTTTTCAGTCTTAGGCCTAGGATCATGACAGGCTGTCATCTGCACTAACATGCCTGCTGATTTGTAGTTGAAATTGAGCTGCTCTCTCATCTGCTTAGCTTTAAATGCCATTTTTTAAATAGAAATAACTCGCCATTATCAAGGCCGATGGTTAATTCAATGGATTTTTTTTCTTTCTTTCAGTCATGTAGATCAATAAGTTTGGAACTCTAACTTCTGCATGGGTTCTGAGATGTATGCTAGACACAGCCATATCTCAATATAAACGTTAAGTAAGCAGAGGTCAAAATTGTACCGCTTCTCATGAAATGGATGCAGCAGGAAGAATTTAATGGCATGGATAGCTTTCACCAATGGCACAGGGAAGCCATTCCCTTTATGCTTCTCTTTCAAGCTGGCCAGCTGTGTTGAGGAAGCAATGCATCTGAGATGTTGTATCTATAACATGTAATGTAAGTAAATTCTAGAATGGGAACCAATGGAAGCCCGCCCCCCCTCCCGCCCCCGATGTATGAACAACAGTGGATTTTTCTTGTTGTTTTTTTTTCTCCTCAGCTTTAAAGAGTCTAAAGGCTAGTCTAATTTTAGTTACAGACAAACACACACACAGAGAGAATTATCTCAAATATATCGAGAACTATGATACGATGCTTTTTTCCTGCATAGTTTCAGTTCTAAATCTTCCTTTCAGTTACTGATGCATTGAAAAAAACAGTCAAACATATTTTACAACATAATACAAAACTAACAAAATTCAAATGAAAAATCAACAGCTTTGGGGAACAGGCTAAACTTCTGAACTGATATTCTCACAAAGAAAGCACCGTTTTAGAGATAAATGAATACTTGCATTGCCAAGAGAAATGATTTTTTAAAAAGCACGGCTGAATATAACTCTTGAGAAATAAGAAACAACATACAAATATTTTCCATTTTGGCCTGAAGTTATTTCCTTCCATAGCAAACCATGTTTGAAGCATGACAAAATAAAAGGAAACAGTACATCTTCATGTCCAGTATCAAAATGCAATGTTGCCCAAAATAAGCTTTTCCAACCACATGCAGTTTTAGATTTGTCTTCTTTTACAACAATATAGAAAAAAATATATAGGACTATAGTCAGACCTAGTTATCATTACAAGGGTATTTTATTAAGACTAGCTCCTTTGGAATGGCTTACAAGTGGTCACCACACCTTAAAAAGGATATTATAGCTTTGGAAAAAGTGCAGAAAAAGGCAACTCGAATGATAAAAGGGTTGGAACACTTTCCCTATGAGGAAAGGTTAAGGCGCTTAGGGCTCTTTAGCTTGGAGAAACGACGACTGCGGGGTGACATGATTGAGGTTTATAAGATTATGCATGGGAAAGAGCAGGTAGAGAAAGAGGTACTATTCTCCCTTTCTCACAATACAAGAACTCGTAGGTGCTCCATGAAATTGCTGAGCGGTCGGGCTAGAACGGATAAAAGGAAGAACTTCTTCACCCAAAGAGTGATTAACACTTGGAATTCACTGCCACAGGAAGTGGTGGCGGCTACAAGCATGGACGGCTTCAAAAGGGAATTAGATAAGCATATGGAGCAGAGGTCGATCAGTGGCTATTAGCCACAAGGTATAGATAGGGACTCTGGGGCAAGTGATGCTCTGTCTTCTTGGTGCTTGGGGGGGGGGGTCAACAGGGGGAGGGCTTCTAACGTCCTGGCCCCACTGGTGGACCTCCTGATGGCACTGGTATTTCTGGCCACTGTGTGATACAGAGTGTTGGACTGGATGGGCCTTTGGCCTGATCCAACATTGGCATCTCTTATGTTCTTATGTTCTTAAGTGTGGGTGCAGAGGCACCTTCACTTCCTGCATTCAAGGAAGGTGTGTAAAATAGTTTTACTTCGGAGAACGTTGGAGAGAGGGTAAACTGGCAGTGTTTTGTTGATGGCTCTTCAATAATGTTTTTATGTGCTTACGATTCATTGTTGCTTTGTTAGTTGCCTTGAGTCTAGGGAGATAAGGCAGGATATAAATAAGTTAAATAAATAAATAATTTAAACAAATAATTATATAAATAAATAAATAAATAAATAGCTACTTTGTTACTGTCTCAGGAGCCACCTGCAACTCCTCCTCCATGTGGCACCTTTCCCAAGTTCTGGAAAAGTGAGCAAGGTCATTGCCTAGTAGTCGTTGGTAGCTGGCTCCCATCTTAAAACAGCTACTGTTGGACAAAATGGAGGACCGGTAAGCTGTGAGCCTCATTCCAGGGATGGAAGTAAAAAGCCTGTTCTCTCCAACACTGCCCGCACCACACACATACACACCAAGGCAACTGCCAGGAAGACAGCATGCTTACCGCAAAACAGAGAGTACAACCACCATAGCAGCCACCCAAGGAACAAGCAAGTTGGCCATAGCGTGTGTGTGTGGGGGTGGTGGGGTGGTTTTACTCCCCTTTCTCCACAGCCGACTGGTCCTCCTCTGGGCACTCTGGTAATCTCACTCTCTTGCCCAACCTACTATGCCAAATGCTAAGGAGAGAGCAGGAAGGTCGAGAAGGAATCCCTTCCCCTTACTCTATCACTTCTCAGCCTTTTGGCTAAGATCGAGTATAGTATTGCTTCTCTTATTCTAAATACACAAGTGCTGGCTAGGATACAACAGTGGTGGGGAGAGACAGCTCTGCATATGTAGAGGTACCACAGTAATTTTAAAAAGTCATAATTATGTTTAAGAATTCTATGTCATATCATTGTGCATGTATAGTCCAAGAGCATACAGTAGTCATGTGGCTCTTTTGGTTGCCGGTAATTGTGCATGTGGCTCTCTGTGAGCCATAATGAGCACAACTGAGCTTATTCATTCTAAAGAGCTTATATTTTTGTGAATTTCATGGCTAGTAGATTAGTAGTGCAAAGATCACTGACAGGTATAAGGAAATGTCAGTGTATCCAGATTCCTATCAGGCTCCTTTCTCCCTTTGAATATACAGTATTTTAACGAAGGATTTTTGCTTGGAAGTTTGTTCACCTAAGCACTCCTTGTATGCAGTAATTAAGAGACTAAGAGAATATTATGAATGCTCTGACTTCCAGGGCTCTAGTCGGGGGGGAGCTCTCAGGTACGGAGCTCCGGAAGAGAACCTCTAGGGGGCGGGGCGGTCACGTGGTGAAGCCCCGCCCCCTTCTTTACCCCGCCCTCTGCTTCGATCCTCATTCCGTTTGGGAATGAGGATGAAGCAGGAGGGTAAGTAGCCGGGCCTTCTGACACACTTCCGGTGATGTCAGGGGGTGTGGCCTTCTGTCACTTCCGGTGATGTCAGGGGGCGTGGCATATGCAAATAAGTTATGCTAATGAGTTATGCTAATGAGCTCCGGCAGCTCTTTTTCTACAACAAGATCCCTGCTGACTTCAATGCCAGTTTTTTTAATACCTAAAGTGGTCTTCAGCTTTTTAAACTCATATCAGTGAGTGCACGGCTTCAGAAGTGAAACAATACACAACACTGAGCATATTTGCCAGTTTAACTGGCCATGTTCCCTAGTAGCTGAGTGATAAAAAGAAATCAATTACAACCGTTAAGGGATGAAAACAATTTTGTAGCACTCTTACTTATCTGATGAGCCTGAACGCATCCCAGCAATTTCCAAATCTCTTATGATGTCTGAACTTGAGCTGAAAGGCAAAATGAGATTTATTTTAGACTGCTAGTTGGAAATTGTCAGGAATTCCTATAGGAATAAAGCAGCCATGCTCCAGGCAAAATGAAGCAGAAGAGAAAGGCACTGTTCGCTAGGACTAAGAGTATCAAAGAGATTATCAGAAACCAGGCTGCGGCCCTTTCCACTTGCAGGAGGGTCTTCCTCTTGAGGAGGAAGTCACCAATTTTTGTGGTTACCCCTCTCTCACTGCAGCGGGAAAGAAAATCGGGGGAGGAGAAAGAAGAGTGTAGTAAGAGGGAAAGCCACTGCTTATATAGAACAGCTCAGTCTGGATAGAATTCCAAACTTAAATATTTAACCTAATCAGTTCTGCAAGTATACACAATCTCACCCCTCCTTGATTTTCTACTAGCAGTACAATCCTGTGCATAACTACCCCAGTCTAAGCCCACTGAAACCAATGGGACAGGAAAGCACTTTCCGGGGGCACCTTCTTTGGAGGGCTGTAACTCAGACCCCGCAAATCCAATCCTCACCAAGCTTGAAGGGCTGGTAGAGGAGAGTTAGCTGGAGATGCCCTGTGAGTTTGGTGTTCCTAGCTAGTACAGGATATGACAGGTTCAGGAGGTTCAGGAGAAACAGCTTAAAAATTCATGGAAAGTCCGTGCCAGTTGACCTGTCACAAACTTGACTTTGTGAACCACAAACCAGTCTAGATCATCACAAACTTTAGTTTGTGAGCTGATTCGAGCCCATCCCTATTCCTGGCTGCAGATGTACTCAAAAGACGATGCAGAAAAGAGGAAATTCAAGAAAGGAGCTTATAAAGCCATGTATGAGTGAAAAAGCTGAACATTTATGCAGATCAATTTTTCTTAGCGGCTATGATCAGGCACTCAGTAACTACAATTCCTTGTAATGCTGCATCTGGGCACTTCAAGAATTTACACTTTGTTTCTTGTTTCTAACTGATATTTTATACCTCTGGTTTGTATAGAAAACATATAACACAGTTTATTAAAGTGCCAGATTTGGACATCATGACAAATTGGGATCAACCCTAAGACTTATTAAATCAAGAAGTACTACCCATTTTATTTATTTTTATTTATTTAGGCATTTTTACCCCGCCCTCCCCGCGAATGGGCTCAGGGTGGCTTACAAGGGGCATGAGCCCATGCATAAAACCAGATAAAACAAAAAATCATGAATAATAATAATAATAACAATAATAAAGTGCTTTCTGTAAACAAGATGGTCTTTGAGTGGTTTTGATGGCATCAGTCACTTCCTTAAATCCTCCCCTTGGGGTGATATTGTCCAGTAGATAGTTCAAGCCAATCCCACAGTGTCAGTGCCATACAATTCATAGCAGAACTTATGAGGGCGGTTCCTAGTCCCGATGTTATTGCCACCATTGGTGGTGGTGGCGGCAGCGGCCTCTATGCGAAAGCCTGGTGGAAGAGCTCCGTCTTGCAGGCCCTGCGGAACTGCATAAGGTCCCGCAGGGCCCTGATCTCCTCCGGGAGCTCGTTCCACCAGGTAGGGGCCGCAACTGAGAAGGATCTGGCCCTGGTCGCAGCAAGCTTTACCTCCTGGGGGCCTGGAATCACCAGGCGGTGTTGGGTCCCCGGCCGAAGTGCTCTTGGGGGTATATGTGGGGAAAGGCAGTCCCTCAGGTAAGTCGGACCCTGGCCATGTAGAGCTTTAAAGGTGAGTACCAGCACTTTGAAGCGGATTCAGTATGCTATTGGCAGCCAGTGCAGCGCTTTCAACCCAGGCCGGATGTGCTCCCACCTGGGGAGGCCCATCAACAGCCTGGCCGCCGCATTCTGCACTAGCTGCAGCTTCCGGATCTGCAACAAAGGCAGCCCCATGTAGAGAGCGTTACAGTAGTCTAACTTTGAAGTGACCATCGCATGGATCACTGTAGCCAGGTCATCGCGGTCGAGGAAGAGAACCAACTGCCGAATCTGCCTAAGATGGTAAAATGCAGATCTGGCAGTGTCTGCCACCTGGGCCACCATAGTTAGGGAGGGATCCAGGAGCACTCCCAAACTCCTAACCTCTGACGCTGGCACCAGAGGCACCCCATCGAAGGTCGGGAGAGGGAGCCCCAGCCCCGGACCATTCCGGCTCAGGCACAGGACCTCCGTCTTCGCTGGGTTTAGTTTCAGCCGGCTCAGCCTGAGCCCCCCAGCCACAGCCTGTAATCCCGGGCTCAGATCTTCTGGGTCGGAGCCCGACCGGCCACCCAACATCAGATAGAGCTGGGTGTCATC